CCACAGCTGCCCAACTGCTCTCCCGTCCCCAAGCCAATCTAGACTTGGGGACTGGGGAACGCGCGAAGTCTCCTCTCCCCGCCATAGGCATGCGGCAACCTGAGGGAACTGTGCACCCTGGTGAGGGGAGGAGACTTTGTGCACTCCCCTACCTGCAAGGCCCTGATTGGCCTGGGGGCGGTGAGAGTGCACAAAGTCTCTCACTACACACCCCACCCTGCCCCTGATAAGGTGAAGCAGGTAGTGAGAGACTTCATGCGCTCCTCCTGCCCCCCAGGCTGGGGGGAACGTGCAAAGTCTCCTTCCCCCAGCCAAGGGTGCACAGCCCTTCAGGACGGGAGACCCAGAGACTATGTCTGCTGCCCCAGCCCCAGCCCCTTCACAGCAGCTGGGAGGCATAGTGCTGGGAGGAGAGGGGAGGTGCCTCCCAAACTAAGGGGAAAGCCTCTTTTTCCTTCTCCTCCTGATGTTGCTGTGCTCTTATCCTTCCTTCCTTGGCAGGGGAGGGCCCAGATTGGCCTGGGGGTAGAGGGAGCGCAGGAAGTCTCCTCATACTGCCAGGGGCATGCGGCACCTAGAGGGAACTGCCAGTTGGCAGGGCAGGGGGCAAAGACTTCATGCACTTCTGCACCCCTAGACTCAAAGTCAAGAAAAGAAAAGAAAAGAAAAGAAAAGAAAAGAAAAGAAAAGAAAAGAAAAGAAAAATATTTCTAGCTCTCCTGGTTGTGCAGGAAAACGTGAATAAAAAGAACCCAACTTTTATTTGTCTTTAAAATAACAGAATTTCAGACTCACAAATTGTGTTATCTGACTCATGACTGAGCTGAACAATAGTAAGCCAGAAAGATAAAGGCCTTGGGGTAAAAATTGAGGGAACCCATGAAGGGGGAGGGATAACACAATTTAAAAGAGGAGAGAGAGAAAATGGAGAAGAATGGGTGCTAACTATTGGAGAAACCTCACATCCCCTCATGTGAAAAGCCACTAGAGAGATACAAAGATCTATGCCCACCCCAAACGGTGATGTTGGGGGAGAGAAAACAGCTCTGACAGTCTTAAGCAAACAGTTTTAAGCTAATTCCCACTCCAAGATATTGAGAGGTTGGGAGACATAGACTTACATTTAGCTGGAGTGGAGTTCTGGTAAATATTTTCAAACATGGATTCCAGTCTGATGCTGTTACAGTTCCCAAATGGAGGTTTTCCACCCTCTATGGAGCCACAAAGCTGTTTTAGGGCATCCATGGGGCTGAAGCCCCAAGTCCCAGTGCACCCCCTGGAGAATGGGGTGGGCTGTAACAGTCTCCAGGAAAAAACGCTAAAGAATTTAATCTCTGTGGACAAGCTGTCAGGGCAGAGGTTTGTGTGGTGCTAGATGGTTGTCGGGGTCTTCAAAGGATTAGCTATGGCTATGGGTGCCCTATCTATCCCCAAAGTGCCAAATTAAGATATTCATATGAAAGCCATCCTAAAATTCACAAACAAGCCCTCAACCTTCTAGCACTGGGGTGGGCAAAGGGGCCTCCGTGGGACAGATCTGTCCTGCCAAGCAGGCTGATCCAACCCACAGCTGCCCAACTGCTCTCCCGTCCCCAAGCCAATCTAGACTTGGGGACTGGGGAACGCGCGAAGTCTCCTCTCCCCGCCATAGGCATGCGGCAACCTGAGGGAACTGTGCACCCTGGTGAGGGGAGGAGACTTTGTGCACTCCCCTACCTGCAAGGCCCTGATTGGCCTGGGGGCGGTGAGAGTGCACAAAGTCTCTCACTACACACCCCACCCTGCCCCTGATAAGGTGAAGCAGGTAGTGAGAGACTTCATGCGCTCCTCCTGCCCCCCAGGCTGGGGGGAACGTGCAAAGTCTCCTTCCCCCAGCCAAGGGTGCACAGCCCTTCAGGACGGGAGACCCAGAGACTATGTCTGCTGCCCCAGCCCCAGCCCCTTCACAGCAGCTGGGAGGCATAGTGCTGGGAGGAGAGGGGAGGTGCCTCCCAAACTAAGGGGAAAGCCTCTTTTTCCTTCTCCTCCTGATGTTGCTGTGCTCTTATCCTTCCTTCCTTGGCAGGGGAGGGCCCAGATTGGCCTGGGGGTAGAGGGAGCGCAGGAAGTCTCCTCATACTGCCAGGGGCATGCGGCACCTAGAGGGAACTGCCAGTTGGCAGGGCAGGGGGCAAAGACTTCATGCACTTCTGCACCCCTAGACTCAAAGTCTCCTAGCCCCGCCCCTTCCACCCGAGGCCCCACCCCTTTCAGGGTGGCCCACAACCACTTCCGAAATTCGCAAAGTGACCCCCTTCAAAAGTTATCACCCACCCTTGTTCTAGCACCTTAGCTTCCCCCAGGCCTCCAGCTTGTCTGCACTGTCCCTGGCAACACTTTGACAATATTGACAACTACGCCTGCTAGAGCTTCACTTTTGGAACAGTTCGTGTGGGCTTGAAGTTAAGAAGCACTTTCTGTGCTCTTTATAGTGGGGAGTCAGAATCAGGGCTGATGATACTGACATGGCAACATCTGCTACAGTTAAACTGACCTGATGGCATGTGAGATACAGACAGGACTTTCAGATGGCTTTTGTCTAGGAAAGATACAGGTTCACACCCACCCACGAAAACCCGCCACCACATCTCCCAGTTTGACCCCCCCACCAATGCACCAGGTTGCCAGCCCTCCAGCCCTGGCCCGGCATCTCCAGGAATTAAAAATCAATCTTTAATTAAGGATTGTGAAATGGGATTAAATCTCCAAGAATACGTCCAACCAAAACTGGCCACCCTACGGACACAGCAAGCAGTCGGGGAGAGGTAGCATTCCCTTGTGTCCCTATGAGCCTTCCCCCCTGTTTGCAAAGAGCACGTTGGGGCTGCAGTGCAGGCAAACCCTGTGTCCTGCCTGGGCACTAAGGAGAAGCCAGAGCCAGTGAAGGGGACACTGCAGGCCTGGCTGACTTGGGCTTTCCTGCACAGCCACTAGGATTAACACTCAACTTCCTTCCCCTCCCCCCACCGTTTCCATGGGGAGGCTGACCGTCTCTCTACAGGCCTAAAGACCTCTAAGCCCCGCCCCC